CCCGCCCAATATCTCTGTGGCAACTTTGTTGCCCTTCAGTCACCAGGCTGGGCACATGCACCCACCCATAGCATTCTTATTTTCTGTAGTACTATAGACTTTGTAGCACTATAAAAATGCATGTCAAAGGCCACAATGTAACCTACCCCAGTGCAGATGACGGTACATTAAGAAATGGTGAAATGGTTGGTGGATGTTGACCCGCCCAATATCTCTGTGGCAACTTTGTTGCCCTTCAGTCACCAGGCTGGGCACATGCACCCACCCATAGCATTCTTATTTTCTGTAGTACTATAGACTTTGTAGCACTATAAAAATGCATGTCAAAGGCCACAATGTAACCTACCCCAGTGCAGATGACGGTACATTAAGAAATGGTGAAATGGTTGGTGGATGTTGATAGGTCTGATCTAAAGGAAACTTGCTGCAGCTCTATTATGTTTTCACTGAATGTGTGTGTGACATTACCATCTATCACTGGATTAATTTGCCATTGTCACTGCTTGGGAACAATTAACTCATTTTTGTCCACATATTTGTGATACTCTGTACTTTTCACTTACTTGGAGCATTTCAAGCACACCATGGCATGTACATTTTCCAGTGAAGATGTGTAGCTTAGTGTTTAAATGTAGGTGAAACCTTAACTTCCCCATCTCTCTTGAAATCAAAGCAGCTTTTAGAAAATGATCAAGACTTGAGAGTTCTGACCATGTGGAGTCCTGGGCTAGCATGAGGGCTTTTGAAGTGGAAGAACAGTTTGTTGATTGCAGTGTACCACGCTGGCTCAAAATATTACTCTGTCCCTCGTCCCTCAAGCCTCCCAAGAACAGACAGTGGTTAAATGAACCGGGTTATGAGAACTATAGTATTTGTATTTCAGTAGTTGCACAGTAATGGCTATCATATTTAGGTTATCTGTGTTAGAGGAATGGGGAACTTTTTGTTAAGAGAATTCATAATTCACCGGTATTAGGGTAGTAATGCATATTAAAGTGACATGATGTCATTTTTCATTATTATAAAATTGCCCATCAGCGTAAGATAAATGCATACAGCACAGAGACAAGGGAGGTGTTAGTTTAATTTTTTTTTTTTAGGAAATGTAATAACCAAGATGACATTTTAATGTGCAGTTTACCTTGGCTATGCATTTAAAAAAGGAGAATCGGCCATCTTACCCTAATAAAACACATTTATGGACATAGTGTATAGTGGTGAAAGTTGGTACAAATTTAGAAATGCTTTTGTAGGGAACACCAGGTGTTTTTCTCCAGGTGGGATGCAAACTTCCTCCTTGAGAAATTGCCATTCAGTAATGCCATCATGGGAGTCCAAGGAGTGCATGCTCTGCACAATGGATTGCTGAAGAATTAAACCCTTTTAACCTGTATGATTTTGGGATGTATATGATCAACTAGAGTCCTCTCTCTTTTGAAAGTATCAGAGAAAATTGGGGTTTATATGTAAAGCACTTTCCATGGCTTCATAATAGCATTGTTTCCCAGTAGTCATTACTTGAAGGCAAATGCCATTTTTTTTAGCAAGCTGGCTTAATGTTCACTAGTGTTGGTTTGACAGTCCCATTCCAAATCTAGCTACGCAACTCATATGGTACAGGCAATGGGAAATCAAGCAGAATGTGCCCTGCAGCTCTCTGAGCCCTTACCTTTGGAGGGACATTCTTCTAAGACCAAGAGATTCTTCCAAGATCGGCTTAGGTTAGTGGTTCTCAGCCAGGGTGCTGTGGTACCTTGGGGCGCTGTAAGATTCTTTTAAGCATGTTGCAGTATGCCACATTTAATATCAACTGTTGGGTATGCAAGTACCTATACAATTTGCAAGATAAAAACAGAGATTTCAAATAGGAATCCATAGTGTTAAAACATTTGGACTTGTCAGGATCTTTCTGACTTCATTGCAAGAGAAAAATTGCTCTATTTTCTTTGGTCAAAAAAGCAAGTGAAAACTAAGCTGGCATTTTCTGAGGGGTGCCCTAATTGTAAAAAGGTTGAGAACTACTGGCTAAGAAATGGCCTGTTGCAGCTACAGAAAAAAAAAATTGTGGTGCTTTCTGTAATGTACGGCTGTTGTTGACTTGACTGGGACCAGCAAATAGCTGTCATGTCACATACCAGTCACAATCTTAAATAAATGAACCCCTTTAATATACTATTAAATTCCCAGTATATGAACATTTTGCAGTAATTGTGACTATAATAAGAGGTAAGTGTGACTCTTTTTAATGATACGCATTCAGGTGAATTGGACTAAAACAAATTATCCAGACATTAAAGCCTCCATACATCTCCTGAGCTATCCAGTCTCCTTTAAGTGCCAGCTTTTAAAAATATACTGCTAAATTACCTTTCTTCTTCCTGTCTACTAAATGTTCAATTCATGCATTTGAAACTGAAATATGTTATAATGCTGTCTTCTCACATTTTCTCTAAACTTCTGGTTTGAACTAATTACGCAGTTTTAAACACTAGGACAGCCTCTTGGAATAATTTGTTAAATTTTCATTTATTTTTTTTCTTCACTAGCTTATTCATCCTTTATTTTTCTTTTTTCAGCTTTTCAGAGAAGTAAGAATAATGAAGATTTTAAATCATCCAAATATAGGTACCTCATGTTTCCTAATAGTTTTTTTCCTACAAAACTTTGATCTTTGTAGAAAATGTCTTGTTTTTTTTATGTTAAAGTATGCATGTAGAAGTTGAATAAAAGGCTTAAAGTCCACTTAATGAAAAATGGTGAGAAGAGCATTTCATTTGCTTTGAGAATTTATAATGTGTAGAGGAGTGTATTTAAAAAAATAATTGACTGAGCACTCTGTGTTATGTTGTTCTGCAGCCACGCAAATTACTACAAATAGTTTGGACTTTCTTTTTTTGGTTTGATGCATGCTTTGCTCCACAATAAGCTCTCTTTGGAAAAAAAAAAAAGCTTGTTAGTGGTTGAGAGAGCATTTTGAATGCTGTGGCTGCAAACACACGTTCACATACTCTGGGAGAATTTTCCCACGTTTTTTTCTAAAAGAAAAAAACTTACCCGGAGCCACCTGTACGGACACTCGAGTGCTGAAGCCCTTAAGATTGGAGAGCTTGCAGTTTCGCTTCTGTGGAGCCACAAAGGTGGGGTTTGCGTACACATCTCAGCATGTTCCACAAGCTCCCTTAGTCTTCCTGGAGACAGCAGCAGTGCATGGGGCAGCCCTGATTGGCTGACCCAGACTGCCTATTGTCAGCCTGTGTTTTTCTGCAGCAGAACGTGGGGATTATGAAGGGGTCGTGTTCTTATTCATAGAATCCTAGAAAATGAGGGTTGGAAGATACCTGATGGGATCTCTAGGATGGAGATTCCACCACCTTTCTGAATAATTTGTTCTACTGCTGTGCTATCCTCCTAGTGAGAGGGTTTGCCCTAATATCTAACCTAAACCTCCCTTGCTGAAACTTGAAGTCATTGCTCCTTGTTCTCTTATCTGCCACAACCGAGAACAGTCTAGCTCCATCCTGTCTGGAACCACCCTTCATGTAGTTCAAGGCTGCTATTAAAACCCTTTCAGCCTTCTCTTCTCCAGACTAAATAAGCCCAGTTCCCTCAGTCTCTTTTCATCAGTCATATTCCCCTGCCCTCAAACCATTTTCCTTGGCTTCCACTGGACTCTCTTCAATTTGTCCACATCCTTTCTGTAGTGGGGGGCCCAAAACTGGACATAGTACTGCAGATGTGGCCTTACAAGTACCAAATAGAGGGGAATAATCACTTTTCTCAATTTGCTGGCAGCACTCCTACTAATGCAACCCAGCATGTTATTAGGTTTCTTTTCAACAAGGGCACACTTGGCTCATACTCAGCTTAACCCCAGGTCCTTTTTCAGCACAGCTGCTGCTTAGCCATTCAGTCCCCAATCTGTACCAGTGCATGGGTTTATTCCATCCTAAATTCAGGACTCTGCACTTGTCGTTATTGAACCCCGTGAGATTTCTTTTGGTCCAATTTACCTAGGTCCCTGTGAATCCTAGCCCTACCTTCTAGTGTATCTACTATTCCCCCCCCCCACCAAGATGTCTTGGTGTCATCTGCAGTTGGGTGCACTCCATCCCTTCTTCCAGATTGTTGATGAAGATATTGAACAAAACTGGCCCCATTATCAGCCCCTGGGGCACTCCGCTTAATACAGGCTGCCAAGTAGACATAGAGCCATTGACTACTAACTACCCTTTTGAGCCCAATGATACAGACAGTTTTCTATCCACCTAACAGTCCATTTATCCATCCCGTGCTTCCCTAGCTTGCTTGCAAGAATATTGTGGGAGATGGTATCAAAAGCCTTGCTAAAGTCAAAGTATATCACATTTGCTGCTTTCCCTGCATCCACAGAGCCAGCCACCCCATCATAGAACGGGTAGGCAACATTTTTAGACCAGAGTGCTGAAAAACCCCACAATGCCTACCTTGGAAGGTATTAGAGTGCCGGCATGCCAGAAAAACGAAATGAGGGCAGGGAGTACATGGCAGGATGCACTGCTTGTGCCCCTGCCCCCCAGCCCAACTCATGGCCCTCACCCCCAGCCCTGCTGCCCCTGCTCCCCAGCCCTGCTCATGACCCTTGCCTCCCACCCAAAGCCCCTGTCCCCCAGCCCGGGCTCTGTGGCTGCCAGCAGCTACCCCAGCTGCTAACATCTGCTGCCTGTCCGCCCCGGCCCCAGTTGCCTCCCAGTCCCAAACCTGGCCCCAGGCTCTGGGGTGGCAGCACATGCCAGCAATGCTCCCCGCTATGCTTCCCTCACCACTTCTGCAAAGCAGTGCTGGAACCTGGGGCGGCAGGGCAGGGCACGGCGGTGGTCGCAGAAGCGTCAAGGGCAGCACAGTGGGGAGCATCGCTGGTATGTGCTGCCTCCCTGAAGCCCCGAGTCAGGTCTGCGGTTGGGAGGCAGCTAGGGCTGGGGCGGAGAGGCAGCAGATGTTTGCAGCTGGTCCCGTCTCTGGGTAGCTGCTGATAGCCACAAAGTCCAGGCTGCTCCCAACAGGGCTTGCAGCATCCCAGCTGCCTGCTGGGAGCAGCCCAGACTCCCAGCTGGAGGCAGCTACCCAGAGCTGGGGCTGACTGCAGCTGGGAGGCTGCAAACAGCTGCTGTATCGCCAGCCCCAAAGTGTGCCGAGGAAAATGGCCTTGCGTGCCATGCTCGGCATGCGTGCCGGGGTTTGCTGACCTCTGTCATAGAAGCTAGTCAGGCATGACTTGCCTGTAGTGAGTCAATGCTGACTGTTTTTAATCACCACCTTCTCTAAGTGCTTAGAAATTGATTCTTTGAGGACTTGTTCCCTAATTTGTCCAGGGACTGAGGTGAGGCTGTCTAGTCAGTAATTCCCTGAATCTTCTTCCTTCCCTTCCTTAACAATAGGCACTATATTTGCCCTGTTCCAGTTGTCTGGGGCCTCTCCCAATTGACATGAGTTTTCAAACATAATGGATAGGGGCTCTGCAACTATATAGTCCAATTCCCTCAGCACCCTTGGGTGCATTGCATCCAGCCCCATGCACTTGTACACATTCAGCTTTTCTAAGTAGTCCCTAACCTGTTCTTTCACTACTGTCAGCTGCTTATCTCATCCCCAGACTGCTGCCAGGTGCAGGAGTCTGGTAGCCAACCTTGCCAGTGAAGGCTGAGGTAAAAAAAGGCATAGAGTACCTCAGCCTTGTCCACATAATCTGTCACTGGGTTGCCTCCCTCATTCAGTAAGGGACCCACACTTTCACTTTTCTCTTGTTGCTGACATACTTGTAGAAACCCTTCTTGCTACCGTTCACTTCCCTTGCTAGCTGCAACTCCAGTTGCACATTGGCCTTCCTGATTTCATCCCTGCATGCCCAAACAGCACTATTTATACTTCAAACTAGTAGTTTGTTCAAGTTTCCGCTTCTTAGAAGTTTCCTTTGTGTGCTAGCTCATTAAAGAGTTTCCTTCTAAGCCAAAGCTGGTCTGCTGCCATACTTGCTAGTCTTCCTGCACATCAGGATGGTTTGTTCTTGTGTTCTTACTAAGGTTTCTTTAGGGTACAGCCAGCTCTCCTGGTCTCCCTTCCCCCTCAAAGAACTCCCTCGCAGGAGTTCCCTGAGTGAGTTGAAGTCCAGGGTCCTTACTCTGCTGCTTTCCTTCTTCCCTTTCCTCAGGATCCTGAAATCAGTTATCATGGTTGCTACTCTCCAAGTTGCTGTCCACTTCTACATTCCCCACTGATTCTTCCCTTGTTTGTGAGCAGCAGGTCAAGAAGAGCATAGCCCCTAGTTGGCCTCCACAGCAGTTGCCCCAGGAAGTTGTACCCAACACTTTCCAGAAACTTCTTGGTTTGCCTGTGCACTGCTCTATTGCCCTCCCAGCAGATGTCAAGGGGATTTTGAAGTCTCCCATGAGAGCCAGGGCCTGCAATGTGGAACCTTGCACTCGCTGTTTGAAGAAAGTCTCATCTTCCTTGGCTGGTGGTCTGTAGCAAACCCGCACCGCAGCATCACCCTTGTTGCTCTTCTGTCTGACCGTAATCCAGAGACTTTCAACAGGCCTATCTTTAGTTTCATACTAAAGCTCTGAGAAATCATTCTTTTACATAAAGAACAACTCCTCCTCCTCGTCTCCCATCCCTGTCCTTCCTGAACAGCGTATACACATCTCTGAGGGAAATGCCTGAGGACTGTTCTTTTCTGAAAGAAGCCACAGCCCGTATGGATGTTCTCCTGGGAGTGATTTAACCCTGGCTATTTCCAGGTTACTTTTCTGCTGGAGTGGCCATTTTTACTTTGGGCGGAGAGAACATGAATATCTGTTCACTCGTGGTTTCTCCTGGGAGCGCAAAACTCTTCCAGAGGAAACTAAATGTATGAGGCCTATGTTAAAGTATTTAAAGTGACAGTTTTATGTCAATTTAACAGTGTATTTCACATCTACAATAAGTAAAATTATTACCTATAAATCTGTTTTTATGACCTACTGCAGTTTTATGACCTAAACCAAGTGGATTTCAAGCCAGAACTTTGTGGTTGTGAAGTTGGATCCAGACTGTGCTATTGATAAAGCATTAGTGTTTTCATTTAAAAGGAAGAAAATCAAAAGTTGCTTTTTAAGAAATGTTGTCATACTGTCAAACATTGGTGTGATCACTTTTTGTAGAGTCCTTCATAAAGGTCATCTTAAAACTATACTATAATTGTCCATAATCTTTCCATTAAATATCTGCTCTTTTCTCCCCTCTAGTGAAGTTATTTGAAGTTATTGAAACCGAAAAAACTCTTTACTTAATCATGGAGTATGCAAGCGGCGGTAAGTATTTCCCATTATGATGCAAAAAATTATAAATTGCCAAGTTCTGTGGAAGCTGTTTGTCTTGTAAGACTTTTTTTAAAGCGGGAAACATGAATTGCATAGTAGTGAAATGTTAAGATCAAGAGAAGATGTTCTTAAAGCCACACCAAGTTTTAAACAGTGAAATGCCATTGCTGACTTGTTCAGACTTAACTTTGAAGTAGGATAATTTTATTCATAGTAGTAATGATAAAAGGGTGATTAAAGCACAGCAGTTTGTGTGGCAGTAGGTTCCAATAATTTATTTGGTAAAATTGGGTATACTCAGCTGTAGAAATTTAGAAGAAAAAATATATTCATTTTCAGATGAAAAAGCATGGCAGACTCTTGTTTCTTTATCACTTTTGTTTTAAAGCACCAATATTTTGGTCATTATTTTTGAGTTGTTGGCAATATGGAATATGCTTTGTTTATTAAAAATTAGACCCACAGCTACCAAAATCTTTTTTGACTTCTTGCACCTCTACATCTCTCCACTGATTTTTTTTTTTTTCTTTGAATCATTAATTCCTGATTAATGAACCAAAAAAAAAAAAGTGGGGCTTTCTATAGAGTGCTTTCACCTAAACAGCTGGAGCCATGTTAGTCCAAAAGGAATAGCAGTCTGCTTGAAACGTGGCATTGCTGTTAAACTTTGAAATCGGCTGGTGAAATTTTCACAAGTTAAAGCTTATCTTTAGTTTTGGTGGAGGTGCATGGAAGTTTTTCCCCCTTCCTAAAATTGGCCAGCAGAATTCAAGTATTTATTTCCCCTGTGAATGTTACATAGATGCAGCTCATCTTGGGGTCATGCTTTCTATAAAGATTCCATATCTGCCAGCGTAGATTGTCTTAACAATTGTAAATGAAGTCCTGGAAACACTAGATGCATAGACGAACTTTTTAAAAATGCAGTAACGCTAGTGGGAAATGTTGGTTTAATATAAGGCTGTCTAGCTCACCCTTTCTTGCGGGCTGGATCTGGACCATGATAGGGTGAGCTGTGGCCGCAACAGTTAAAATGGCCATCATTGACACTTTCTCACCATTGGGGCTCCATACTTGAGATTTCTATGACAGGTACTGCCCCCAAGTTTCCAACCCTTCTTGGAACTCCATGGGCCAGATGACTAGGTCCATGGGCTGAATCTCGCCCAGGCTGGGTAGTGCCTACCCCACTCCCTCCCTCATGCTGGGGGCCTCTATCTGCTTCCCCCATGCCCCTTCCCTTCCCCCACCCTTCCCATAGACTTACTGGCAGGATACTGCTCTCCAAGCTGTTGGGCTACATTCCTGTAAATTGGCTGTTGGATCAGTATCTGCCAATATGGCTGGTTAATAATCAGCTATTGGTATCAGCCAAGAAAATATTTATCAGTGCACCCCTAATTTTTTTTCTGTTGTACCTGTGAGGGGTTTTGTAGTCCTTTGTGCATCTTAAATTTCAGATAAATCCATTTAATTTCTGATTCCACATTTGACTTTTAAAAACTAATGTATAGTTAGGGTTTTTTTTCTTTTTGAGGTCATTTTGCAATAATCTATGCTTCCTCTTATCTGAAAATTCGTAACTGTTAACTATTTTACCTGCTTCTAAACTTATCACGTTTCAGACACTTAAATTAAATGATTTATTGGTACCTAAACACCGATGTTGTGTATTTGGAGGCATTCCCTCTTCCATATCTAATGCTGTTTTTCTGTTTAAAAAAAAAAAAAAAAACTACTTAAACCATGCTGTGACAAACAAGTCAATATTTCATAGGCTAGGTGGTAACATCTGAACAACTGGAAGAATACTTCAGTTTAGTTAGCGAGTTTTAAAATGACATTTATTTGACTGTTTTTAAAAAATGCAGAACTTTCCATTATTGCTTCAGTATTGTCCTTCAAAAATCCCCAGCCTTATTGAATTGCACTTTCCTCCAGAATTTGGAAGTTATCCAGGAACCTGTTGTGCTGAAAAGTCTTTCCCCAGTATCAGACATGGGGAGCTTGTTGAAGCAAACCATGATTTACCATTCTTTTCACCTAAATGGTGGATTGTTGTGGAGGGGTTTGAGGGGGTGGGGGGTTGGTTTTATAAAGGAGACCCTATTTTAGTTTAACTACAGATTGAAATGGGGATCTCTGTCTTGATTATACAGTTTTTTTGTTCAGTTGGTTGGTTTGTTTTGTTTATGTAGATACAGGAATTATAACAGTATACTACCATTTTTCCCTAGCTGTTTTTAAGCATTTTTGTCCTGAAACCTAAAACATCTACCATTACAATATAGCAAATGTTTTCCCAGTGAAAAATCTCTGAAAGGGTACAAGTAGATTTTAGAAGAGTGGCGCACTACTTTTCTTCTTACCATAGGTAATTAGGAGCAAACATTTTTCCCTTCATTTTGGCATCCACCTGATTTTATTTACGAGACTTTCTTTTATCAGGGATTATGATATAGTAAATCCCCTTTTGGTCTGAGACTAGTTGAGTTTTTTTTTATTTAAAGAAAAAAAGGAGAAATAGTACTTATTATGCTTGTTAGAATGACTTCTCAGATTAACTGAAAACTACATGAGTGTGGAGGCTGCTCCAACTCGCTATAATTCACTCAATTAATTGAGTCTGCTGGAGTGTGGTAATTACCACGTTCCAGCTGCCTCTTGTGTCCCGTGTATCAGTGTCCCCATGCTTCAGAATGGTGGTGGGGGTGCTTGAACTAAAGCTTGTTGAAAAAGCTTTATTTCAAGCGTCCCCACCACCGTTTTGAAGCTTGGAGACACCAGTACATGAGATGCTGCAGCACTTTAATCATAGTGACTCTCAGAGCCAGTCTGTTTAAGGTGCTGCCCTCCCCCACCCCCAGAGCATGTGTAAAAGTGCCCTCAATTTTTAGTTCACTTGATCTAGTTGCTCTAATTTTAGATAAATAAAATAGGTAACGTGCTGAGTTGCCATGCTGTCTCAGCTTCTGAAATGAAGTAGATAGTATTCTAAAATATTTGATGTTAACAGATATCACTTTCTTTCACATATTTCAATTGCAGGTGAAGTATTTGACTATCTCGTTGCACATGGTAGAATGAAGGAAAAGGAAGCAAGGGCTAAATTTAGGCAGGTATGTATGATACTCTATTACTTTTAGCACATTGACATGAGTTTTTCCTTTGTTTTAGTCATAAAGGGAACAAAGACATTTTGTCTCCGGTGTTGGTTTTCCAGGTGCACTCTGAGATGCAGCCTTCGTAGCATAATAGTGAAAAATCAGACTCTGTAGAAAATGAATTTAGAACGCTAAAATACAGTACTATTAAAGACAAAGAGGTCAGTTGCACAGCCTGAAATCCAGTTAAAGTGCTTGTATGTCAAAACTACTTTGGTCTTCTGGCTATTAGTTCCAGTATCCTCTGTTTCTTTAAATGGAGATTTCAGTGCTCTTTAGAGATGGGACCTTCTTGCTAGTCATTCAACTACAAGCACACATGCTTTAAATCAAAACAGAGTTGGTTAAAATGTGAGGAATCAAGAGAAGAAGCACAGGCTTCCTTTTCACGCGAAGTATAACTTAAAACAGATGCTTTAAAAATAAATCCTGAGAATTTCAAATTGTCATTTTACCATGAATAATGTAAGTCGGTCAGAGGCATTCCT